GTCCCGTCGATCTTTGGATTGAATCGCTTTAGCAAGTCGCAACCCATCAGCACATCGCAATTGTCCAATGTTGTCGCCAACACCTTCATCCAATGCCAGCGACGTTCCGTCCACCAGTCGCATCTCAACCACCTGCAGACACCTTCTCAGCTTCACTCCAAATGTTTTGGCTATCAAGATATTAACAAACATTTTGTTTTATAGCCATTAGCCCTCCCTACCACCAACACAGGGTTATCCACATGCTCATCAACCTTATTCGACCAAGTGCGGTCTACGGCATGGATCCGTACCATGACTCGGTGCGATTGACATGCGTCATGGTCCCATCGGTGTTTTCTTCTTTCTAACTGCGATAATAATAATGGGACATCGTGATATACACAAAAGTCACAATATACCCTGTCCCTCCCCTTTCTATCACCAAGTAGCACCACATATCGTTCTCATGCCAACGTTTTCGTAAGTTTCTTTTGGTACAAGTCACACCTGTCTTAAGGATACAGGTAGTAACCACTTACAATAGAACGCGTAACTATGTGCAAATGTAATTAAGAGAATTCTATAGGCGCGCGGGATGATTTCATATTCCTTTTCACACCAAATCGAGCCGCCGTAATAAAGGGCCTGATTGAGAATCTCACAAAAATTAGCACATAGTTGCCAACACACACAGAGTTGTCAACACACACAGAGTACCCAACACACGCACAATTGCCAACACACACAAAGTTGCGAACATATGCAGAGTTGCCAACACACACACTTTCCAACTCACACAGCTACCAACACACACAAATAGCTACCAACATACACACAGTTGCCAACACACACACAATTGCCAACACAAGCATAGTTGCCAACACACACAGTTGCCAACACGCACGTAATTGCCAACATATGCACAATTGCCAATACACACACAGTTGCCAATATACACCAAGTTGCCAACATACACAAAATCATGTTGCTGAGTCACCTGGTGCCTCCCAATTAAAGGCAAATGAGTGAATGCAAAGTAACTGAATCTGCCAAGAGTGACTGGGAGCCCAAGATGTGAAACTTAGGGTGCGTAGTTATTTTAACACTTTCGTTTTTGCAAAAACGAACCTTTTAAACGAAGGCATGTTACCACTACCACCCGGTCCATGAGTACGACGTAGCCTTGCGCTCCATGTGCAATTGCTCGCTTCATCCTCACAGTGTTGATACATATCGTCGACAGCTTCAGCTCCGTCCATTTCGTAAGTGTGCACCGCCCTTTCGCACATGGCATTGTGTATGCTCATGTCCTCCAGTCAATCTTCAAATTGAATCGCTTCAGCCAGTCGCGTCCCATCAGCACGTCGTAACTTTCCAATGTTGTCGCCAACACCTTAATCCAATGCCAGCGCGTTTTGTCCACTGGTCAAGTCTCAACCTCCACCAAACACTTGCTCAGCTTCATCCAAAATGTTTTGGTTGTCAAGATGTCGACAAACACTTTGTTTTATAGCCATTATCCCTGCCTTCTACTAGCTCACGGTTATCCACATGTTCATCAACCTTATTCGGCCAAGTGCAGTCTATGTCATGGATCGGTACTCACAACGGGAGTTGTGTTAGGCCCCATCCTCGCTTGGGCAGAGCCAACCTCATGGTCGGGTGTACGGGGGAGTGCAGCCGACTTGCAGTGGTGGGCAAGCTGGTCAACGAGGTTGTCGACCAGCGCGGGGGCCACTGCACGGGCGCCAACTTTGGGGTGGTCGACCAGGTGGTCGACTTGACCTGGTGGTCGACGAAGGAGGGGCTGACATCGACCTCGACAGGAGAGACTCAGGACGCCAAGAAGTTGGTCATTGAGTAGCAGGGCGTCGACTTGGTGACGCCGACTTTGAAAAGCCGATTGGGTATGATCGGCTGACTAGTGTACTGGTCGACGTGGAGCTAGTTGACCAGAAGTGTCGTCGACCTGGAGCTGATCGACCAAGGGAGAGGTCGACATGTTGAGGTCAACTGGAGGTGGTTGTCGACCTGGGTGGTCAACAGGCATGTGAAGAAGGTGCTGGTCGACTAGGCATGGTTGCCCAGTCGACCGGGATACCCGGGCGACGTGTGTGAAGGTCACCGGGGTGGTTCTACGAGGACGACCTTGGAAGCGGTATCCCGAGGTCGACGTGGCTGGTGGGCGTAGTCGCTGGTGTGGAGTCGACCTGGGCGTCTGCGAGAAGTGGCGTACCAACCAGCTACGCACATCTGCGAAGCAGGTGCTTCGATGTCCCGCGGGTGCAATGCTGTGCAGCCGACTCGCTGCAGCGTTGGCACACCGTGGACTTGCAACGTTGGCAGGCCACGACTTTGCTCTGCTGGAGTGTGGTCGACCATGGCGTGCCGACACGCGGTCGACCGTGCTGCGCTAGAAGTCGACAAGCAGCTCTGCTAGGTCTGATGTAGTCTTGCATGCCAATATTGTTGCTACCATTGTTGTGAACTTTTGCTAGTGAAACTCTTGCCATCTTTCCTCGTGAACCAGCAAGTAGTGCAAGCACAAGTAAACGACTAAGGAACGAACGCAACGGCGACGGGATGTTGCTTGTCTCGGTGGCGGGAGAGGTGCTCGGTCAGGCGACGTACACCTTGCGTGTCCTCTGCATTAACTTGCGCCCTGCTCGACCAAGTAGACGACGACCACCACGGAGGTGGTGGCCCTGCGGGCGATTGTTTCAGCGACGAAGGCAACGCCGAGGCACACGTCAGCATGGACACCATGCGAAGCTCGGCGAAGCACGAGGTTGCCACTGGGCTGGACCTCAACTCAGCGTCGGGCGCCGACTCACCGTGTGTCTCGTGTGTCAGCGGGAAGCTGGCGCGGCACACCTTCCGCGACCAAGGCTTCGACGCCAATGACGTGCTGTTCGTCATGCACATCAACTTGTGCGGGCCGTTTTGTGTGGCTGCCAAGAACGGCAGCCTGTACAAGTTGCCGCTGAAGGACCGCAAGACCCACTACGTGCGGGTAAGACCGGTCGCCAAGAAGTCGGATGCGCTGCAAGAATTCGTACAGTGGCGGTGTTGAGCAACAGACAAAGAATTCGGGGTTAATGGTGCGCTCTGACTGGGGAGGTGAGTTCCTCGAGAAGCGGCTCACCGACTTCTGGACGGCAAGGGGATCGTCCACGATCTGACTTGCCCGTACACCCCGCAGTAGATAGGAATGGCGGAGCGGGAGATGAGGACGGTGGTAGAGTCGGTGCGGACGATGCTACTGCACATGGGTGTGCAGCACCACTGGTGGCACCTCGCTCTGCGGCACGCCGTCTGGGTCCGCAACTGCCTGGAGAAGTCAACGCTACCACCGAGGACTACACCACACCAGCTGCTGACCGGGAAGAAGCTCGACTTGTCGCTGGCACATGTGTGGGGCTACATGGTACAGTTTTTTAGTCCCCGGGCAGCAGCGTGGTGGGAAGCTGAAGCCGAAGGCAGGTGGGGCCTTCACCTCGGCATGTCGGAGGAGAGAAAGGGCTGAGAACTCCTGGACATTACCAACAACCGGGTGGTCACCATGTCGGACGTGGTGTTCTTTGAGAACATGTCGCTGGCGGTGTGGAAGTCGGCGCATGTGCCGGCGTCGGGGCAAACGCTGACCACCCCGCTAACGTACACCTCGTCGGTGACGCTCCCTCTGCTCACCGAGGTCGGGGAGCCTGCCGCTGAGGACATCAAAGATGTCCCCTCTCCTCCCCCTCCCCTGCCCCTTTTGCCCCTCCCCTTGTGGCCGACCTGCGCGGGCTGGCTTTGGTGTCGGCCCTTGGCGATGAGGGGAGCAGTGGAGCGTCGCCTGTGGCGCCGGCCAAGAGCATTGCCGGTGGCCGACGTGGCGTCCCGCAAGTTGACATGAGAGTGACGTCAAAGCCAGCAAGGGAAGTGCAGGCTGAGGAAGTGCAGCCGACGGTAGTGAAGTCGGCAAAGGGGGCTGCGACAAGGCAGCAGCGAAGCCAACCATAGGGCAGTCGGCAACCGGGCAGTCGGTAGGGGATCCGACCGCAGGGGAGAAACCGGCAAGAACACCAACCGTGGTGGAGCAAGACGCTGGGGGCAACGACGATAGTGACAAAGGAGGGGACATCGTGGAGTCCACCGACAGCGACATGGTGGAAGTCCTGGGTGGACCATGACGTACTGGCCGACTTCGGAGGCCGCCTGACTTCTTCTTCCCTGCGGCCTTCACCACGGTGTACGACATGGATGACGATGACCTGGCATACGACGTTGCAGAGGACCATGAAGAGCTTCCGGAGCTCGACCCCGACATGCACGCCGACCCCGAGCACCGTTGGGACATTGCGACGATGACGGTGAAAGAGGCACTTGCGAGCTGGAAGGGCAGGCGGTGAAGGCCATTATGGAGGAGGAAATTTGAAGCCTCATTAATCTCAAGCTGGAGATTGTGCGCGGCAAGTCAGTAGAGAAGCTGTGGCTGCATCAGCAAGGCTACGTCGACAAGCTGCGTGGGCGCTTCATCGATGAGGAGGGTCCGGTGGGACAAGAGATGACACGAGCAGGGAGCAGACTCGGGATCAGACCTGGACACTGCAGCAAACACCTGACCCGACGCAGCTACCTGACCAGACTCAGCAACCGGAGGAGACTCAGTAGTCAGTGTGTACGGGCTCGACCCCGGCTGACCGGTAAACGTGGCCAAGTGTCGGCCCGTCCGAGCACACGTACAGTAGGTCACCCGCTGACTCGCATGAGTGAACTGGTTAAGCCCCCCATCCTGTAGATCAGCACCACTCTCCAAGTTTGTAGAGAACGAGGGGAGGTAGAGACCTGACAGGGTGCCAGAAGGGGCCGTCAGACACGGTAAGACAGTGGAGAAGTGGGCAAGGACAGGACTCCCAAAGGGGTCTGCCAAGGAGACCGCAACTGGCCGACTAAGCGGCGTGAGTGTGGTGCGGTCTCGAAAGAAGGAGCGGGAAGAAGGAGCGGGAAGCACCCGAGTCAAGGGTGAAGGTGTGTTAGGCCTGAGCCGTTGTGGTACCTGAGAGAGCAAACTCACCAGCACCTAGGACAGCAGATTCACCAGCACCTGGGGCAGCAGACGCACTAGCACCTAGAGCAGCAGCCTCACCAGCACCTAGAGCAGCAACCGCAATGCCCGGGTCAGGCGGAACACACAGGTAACAGTCACCCTCATCACTAGTAGACACAACAAACATGGCAGCAAGAGTAGCATCATAATCCAGATCAAAGATAGCAACCCCCGGCCTAAACAGCTCGCCCGAGCAGGGGATCTCAGTGGTCTCAGGGAACTAGAGACGCCAAGCGTCCGCCAGGCGGCCGAAGCAGCGCTAGGTGGTGTGCGGGCCACCGCACGGCTCACCAATGCGGTCGCCGGTACGCAGGACGTAGGCACAAGGACCAGCACCCCCACCCCGCTGATGCGCAGCGTACCACTCACGAAGCTGCTGGGGGGGCGGGGTCTCACGAGTGCGCTGCTGCTGCTGGCGCTGACCACCACCGAAGCCGCCCCGCTGTGCAGAGCCACCCCGACCCGCTCCACCGCCGCCGCCGCCACCTCCACCGCCGCCGCCACCGCCTCCTCCTCCGCTCCCACCGCCACCGCCGCCACCGCCTCCTCCTCCACCGCCGCCACCGAAGCCCCCACCCCCGCCACCACTCCCACCGCCACCCCCACTCCCTTCGCCGCCTCCACTGCCACCTCCACCGCCCCCGCCAGCCCCTCCAGCGCCCTTGCCCCCCTTGCCCTTGCCAGTGCGGCGTCTCCCGCTAGGGGCAGATGCAGCGCCGACCGACTCGGTGCCAACGAAGTCGACGGCAGCACCAAAGGCAATAGAGGGCAAAAGGGGGGAGGGGGCCCCTCAAAGAAGGGGGAACGAGGGTCACAACAAGAGGCTCCTACAGCAACTATACTCTTCTCAGCTGCCAGGAGGCGCTCCTCAAGGAGGTCAACGGTGAGTGTGGTGGGGCAAACTGAGAGGAAGTGGTCCTTGACTGAGCGAAGGGAGTCAGGGAGCCGGGTGACTAGGTAGTAGAGGGTGATGTACATGGGGGGGGGGGGGGGGGTTCTTGGCGCAGAACTCAGAAGGAATCGCAGCGCGGTAGCGGGCATCACTTGTGCCAAGGTGCGTAATGAGGTCAGCGACTGTTGGAAAGGCAGCAAGGTCAGGGAATAGGTACGGCAGCATGAGGCGGCTAAGGGCAGCAGTGGCAGGGGAAGAGTAGCGTGCAACTACAGCGTCGTACAAGGTCTTAGCACTCTTGTACTGACTAAAGTGCGCGCGCTCAGAGGACGGCAAGTGACTATCACGGCAAGTGACTACGCACAGCATCGCGTGTGGCCCACTGTGACCAAACAGTGCTGTTAGCATCGGCAGGAGGGGCAGTAGAGGCGCCAGACGTTAGATCGAACAGTGAGAGACCGTCTTTCCTGTCACACTGTAGGAAAAGCTGCAGATCATCGACCCAGACCTAAAAGTCGACAGCCCGACCCTCAGCATCAAAGACGAGAACGCTAGGGGTAGCCATAACAGCAGTAGCAGCAGGCTAGGGGCAGTAGCAGTAGGATAGGAGCAGCGCAGTTGCAGAGGCGCGGCTCGGCGGTGCTCTTACCAGGGCGGGTGGGTAGAGTGCCGCAAGTGGCGGGGCAGGGCCGAGGTGCGCCGGAAGGGACAGGGCCGCGACACCTGCAGCTGCTCCTGCTGTTGGCGGTGGCGGCTGCTGCGGCCTTGGTATCGGCGGGGGCGGCTGTGACGGCAGCGGCGGCGGTGGCTGCTCCGGGCGGTGGTGGCGGCGGCCGCGGCTCCGGCAGCGGCGGTGGCAGCGGCTGTCACGGGAGCGGCGGCGGCGGCTGCTGCTGTCAGCGGCGGCGGCGGCTGTTGCTGTCGGCGACGGCGGCGGCTGCTGCTGTCACTGTACCGGCGGTGGCTGCTCCTATTTTCGGCAGTGGCGGCGGCCCCGGTAGTGGTGGCGGCGGCTGTGACGCCGCGACGGCTGCTGCTGCCGGGGCGACGACGGCGGGGCGGCAGGGCCGTGAAGGAGCCGAGAAGGGGCCGCGGAGGAGCCGAGAAGGGGGCCGCTAAGGGCGGCGAAGGGGCCACGAAGGGCCGTGAAGGGGCCGCGAAGGGCGGCGACGGGGCCGAGAAGGGGCCGTGAGGGGTTGCAAAGGGCGGCGACGGGGCCGAGAAGGGGCCGTGAAGGGCGGCGACGGGGCCGCGAAGGGCGGCGACGGGGCCGAGAAGGGGCCGCGCAGGGGCCGCGAAGGGCGGCGACGAGGCCGCGAAGGGGCTGCGAGGGGCCGCGAAGGGGCCGCGAGGGGCCGCAAGGGGCCGCGAAGGGCCGTGAGAGGGGCCGCGAAGGGCTGTGGGAGGGGCCGCGAGGGGGCGTGAGAGGGCGCGACGGGCCGCTAAGGGCAGGGGATGCGACGGGAGGGTAGGCACACGCGACGCGACTCGGGCAGGAGCAAAGCGCGCTCCGAGCAGGAAAAAAAAAAATCGATTTTCAGCGGTGCGCCCTAGGAAACGTTCCCACTAGGGAACCTGCTCTATACCATGTGATAATCACGAGGAATGAATGACTAAGGAATGAGTGTGATAGAAATGTGAAACCCTAGAATTGTGTACCCCTTAGTATCTAACCCGCTATAGCCTACACAAGCTAGATCGTATAAGTCTAACAGCGTACCCCAAAGATACCGGTCTTGGTCAACGCCTACGCCAAGCTGACGTTCGATAACGAGGAGGCGCAGGAGCGTTAGGAGGAGGAGTACCGGCAGAAGGTCGGCTCGCTGCAGTTCGCGGCGACGACGACAAGGCCGGACATCGCCTTTGCTTGCTGCAAGCTGGGGAGCGGCCTCACGGTGAGAAGCGACCAGCACTGGCACGAGGTCAACCGCTACCTCGCCTACCTCGCCAACACCCGCGACACCGCCCTGGAGTTCGGCGGTGGACCACAGTCGCTGGAGCTGGTTGGCTATGTAAACGCCGACGACGCCGACGACAAGCAGAAGAGGACGAGCACAGACGGCCACGTGTTCGTCTACGGAGGGGCCGCAGTCTCTTGGTCAAGCCAGCGCATCAAGAGGGCGACGTTGTCGTTGATTGAGTCGGAGTACATGGCGGCCACCGAAGCCGGGAAGGAGGGACGTCGCCTTTGCTTCCTTCTTGGAGAGTTCTGGCAGTTGGATGCTGAGAAGTTGACTGTCCTTCAGGTGGACAACAAGTCGGCCATCACGGTTGCCAAGGGCATGGGGTTGACGGACAACCTTAAGCACATGGAGCGGCGACAGGCTTGGCTGCAGCACATGGTGAAGTGCGGGAAGTTTTTTCGCTGTACATCCTGACCGCTGAGTAGCCACCTGACTTCTTGACGAAGGCACTACACTTTCCGGCTTTCAACTAGTGCTCCGTCGCAATCGGCCAAGTGCGCCTGGCCGATGTGGGCGACGGTGATGTCGATGTGCAGCAGTAGGTGCCATGCCTTCTTGCATGGCTGGTGCGGTGATCGGCATGCTGTGTGTTGGGTGCACGCCGACGGGCTATTCTTGGAGCAGTGCTGCCGTGTGGGCTAGGGGGCCCAAGTGTGAACGCGGCAGGGGAGAGTCAACGGGAGTTGTGTTAGGCCCCGTCCTTGCTTGGGCGGAGCCAACCTGCAGCGGTGGGCGGGTGTACGGAGAATTGCAGCCGACTTGCAGCGGTGGGCGAGCTGGTCGACGAGGTTGTCGACCTGCGCGGGGGCCACTACACGGGCGCCGACTTTGGGGTGGTCGACCAAGTGGTTGACCTGACCTGGTGGTCAACGAAGGAGGGGCCGACGTCGACCTCGACAGGGGAGACTCAGGATGCCAAGTATCTGGGCGTTGGGTAGCAGGGTGTCGACTTAGTGACGCCGACTTCGGGTAGCCGACTGGATGTGATCGGCTGACTGGTGTACTGGTCGACTTGGAGCTGGTCGACCAGAAGTGTCGTCGACCTGGAGCTGGTCAACCAGGGGAGAGGTCGGCCTGGTGAGGTCGACTGGAGGTGGTCGTTGACCTGGGTGGTTGACGGGCACGTGAAGGAGGTGCTGGTCGACTAGGCATGGCTGCCCGGTCGACCGGGATACCCGGGGGACGTGTGCGAAGGTCGCCGAGGTGATTCCGCGAGGACGGCCTCAGAAGCAGTATTCGAAGGTCGACGTGGCTTGTGGGCGCAGTCGCTGGCGTGGAGTCAACCCGGGCGTTTGTGAGGAGTGGCGTACCAACCAGCTACGCGCATCTGCTAAGCAGGTGCTTCGTTGTCCTGCAGAGGCATTGCTGTGCAGCCGACTCACTGCAGCATTGGCACACCATGGACTTGCAATGTTGGCAGGCCGCGACGTTGTCGTGCTGGCACGCGGTTGACCAAGTCGTACTGGAGCATGGTTGACCAAGTCGTGCTGGCACGCGGTCGACCGTTCTGCGCTTGGGGATGTTAGCGATTTTAATGACATCGATGAAGGCGCCATCGTGGTCGGAGTGAAATCATAATTTAGGGTTTCACAAGTCAGCCACTTTGCAACCCATCAAATCTATAGCTCCCTTAATGCAAACTACCCTCAAAATATGGGAGGACCTAGAAAACTAGTTATGGTACCAAGTGTTATGGGTTGTGAACAAACGAGCGTGCGAAGGTCAATAATGAAGCTATGATTAGAACTGTTGTTAATTAATTGAAGTATAGCAAGGATATAGGAAGTGGTCTATTCCGAAGATTCCGAAGATGGCGTGGGTCAAGATAGGGAGGCGAGGTCATCGAATCGAGCCTAGTCTTTAGAAAGGTTTGATTCTTACGCTGTGTAGCATGGCTCAGCAATGAATGGGAAAAAAAAAAAAAACATTTTACTAAGGTGGCTTATTGTCGAAATATATTTGTCATGTTTTATAACTGCTTGTAGTTGTAGTTAGTGTAGTTATTTAAACTGTTGTTGGTGGTGCACCTTATTTGGTTTCTATGCTATATGTACCCTTGAACCTATAGTGAAACCATCACTTTTTCTCCAATTGCTCTCTCAACTCACTCGACACCTCGCCTAGGGTAAAACCTACTCGACACCTAATCTCGGGCCTAGGCTCCTAAGCCTAGGCCCTACCTCTCAACTTAACTTATACTCTCGACATGTTATCGGAGCTAATTACGACCTGGCCTGTGGGCCCGCCCTACGCTTCCGCTATGATTTTTCGGTCGCGCGCCTAGGGCGCGTGACGATTTTTACCTTGTCCCGCCCACGGGTGTGTGACTCCTACTCTGCCCGTCGCGCGCCCCGTGGCACGCGACGGTGCCCTTCAACTTCCCATCGTGCGCCCCGTGGCACACGATGGTGCCCTGCTTGTCGTGCGCCCCTAGGCACACGATCGGGCCCTCTTTCTTCTCCTACCCGTCGTGCGCCCCGTGGCACTGGCACGCGACGGGCCTTTCCGCCCCTGCTCTCCCTGAAGCCGCCCCTGGCCCATCTGCACCGACACCTTTTCTCCGCTCTGCGGCTTTCTTCCCGCCCACCCCCTCCTCCTTTGTCTCCCTGCAGCCGTGGGGAGGAGGGTATGGGGGTGGAGGGTGTTGGAGTGTTGGGTCACCTCTCTCCCTTCCCCTCCTCCTTCTTTCAGTCCCACCGCTGCAGCTGCCGCTGGGGGGGGAGGGTGTGAGGATGTGGGGGAGCAGGGGGAGTGGTACCGGGGTGGCGGGTGTGAGGCAACATGCAGCCGTCCCTCCACCACTCCTCACTTCCCCCCCTTCTCTGCTGCTCTTGCAGCAGTGTGGGGGAGGGGAAGGAGGAGGGTGAGGAGATGGAAGGGGTACCTGCTGTTGCTTGCTATTCTTTTGAATGGCGTAACTACATATCTACCTACAAGCATTATGGGGGCGTGTCGAAATATATTTGTCATGTTTTATAACTGCTTGTAGTTGTAGTTAGTGTAGTTATTTAAACTGTTGTTGGTGGTGCACCTTATTTGGTTTCTATGCTATATGTACCCTTGAACCTATACTGAAACCATCACTTTTTCTCCAATTGCTCTCTCAACTCACTCGACACCTCGCCTAGGGTAAAACCTACTCGACACCTAATCTCGGGCCTAGGCTCCTAAGCCTAGGCCCTACC